CACAAGTAATGCCACATTGAAAATTATTCACGCAATGCAAAGATAAATCAATAACAGAGCAATAATTTACAAAGATCTTTTTTTTTTTCAAAACGCGAAGATGTCTCCGAGGATTAAAACATAAAAGACCAGCTGAAACTTAATTATCACGTATTATAACAGCTTGCTAACACATCCACGCGTAAAATGATATAACTTTGATTTTATAAAATATTAAAAATTAGAAGTATTCTTCATGGTGGTTAGCGTCACCCATTTTTTCATTCGCAAAGAACATAAGTCAATATAATTATATTGCAATCATTTTTTTTTCAAATGCAAGGCAACGGTTCTCTTATACTAAGTGGGGACCGCTGCCAGTTCACAACACCAGAGGTGTTGCCAAATACCGAACGTGAGGTACCTAATACACCGGTCTTCTGTGACGCTGTTCTATATCCCCGTTCGAGTTGGCCTATAAGGAAAACCGAAAGCTATTATGAGCCTTGATGGCCAATGAAATAACTATAATTTTGCAATTTCAAGTGCTGAATTAGTGTTCATTTGTGAAATACCGTGAGGAAACCTTTTTTGAAATATTAACAAAAAAAATATTTCGCTCATATTATGTGAAGTCTGCCAATCCGCGTGGCTTGCACCATGTGTTCATTTCTGCAATAGCTTTTTGAGTAAACCAACTAAACAAATGTTAGTTATGATATTATTTATATCATTATTCCACTACATCGTGCAAGAATTGGTTACCTATAAATCGTCTATCGTAAAAGCTTAGTATTAACAACCTACATTGCATACAAAATGTATGATTTTAAGACAAAAGAAGAATATACCTGGAGGATTTGAGGACTTTTTGTAGTAACATGATAACGAAGACAGATTGTAATCATATGTAAGTTGCATATTAGTTATTTCACATGTTTGTGGTGGATACTTTATAGAAGTAATCCCACCCGTCAACGATCCCGTGCCGGAATTTAGCCCTGGAATTAACAATGTTTTTCTCACATAGTTTTCTTACACTGACATCAGGTGTACATATCTTTGCAATTAATTGCAAGATGTAATTTATTCATCAAATTCCTTCTCTTAGCTACTTAAATATGGCAGTGTTTGTTTTTGTTTCTTTAATGGTTGTAAACGTGACCTTTTACCGTACATTTTAAATAGTATGAATAATTTTGTACTAATTAAGATATTACGAGGATAAATAGAAATATTTTTGAAGTTATACTTCTTTTAGCGCGTCTGTAAAAAAATATGCATGTAAAATTTTTAAGATGCACGCGCAAACCAACGCCCAATAAGCGATATTTTGTGTGTTGGTTCATCAACTTCACGGTATTACCATGGCAACCAGTAACAACTTTATGACAGTTATTTAAAATTCCAAGTTATTTAGTTAAACCGTAATTTTTTTTTCACAAACAAAGAGTACTGACACGGACAATTAAATTTTTAGTTAGTTTTCTTTTGTTACGTTAATGAAGAATAACTTCTTACGTACGGACATAAGTACACACATACATTTTCAACATACTTTAAACACAATCCAATAATAAAGGGTATGTATGCATATTTATAATTAGCATTTGTCCGTTTTCAGTATAATCTAAAACGAGACAAAAATCCATAGATAGTCCATCTGATTCTAGTTACTCTTTGTCGACGTGATTTTATTGCTTGGGAAACATCGTGACACGTTGACTATATCCTAGTGATTGAGGCGATTTAAAATAAAAGCTTGACTTATTTAAACAGCTTTGAATATAAATTTTGTTCTGTTTATATGAGTCGACGGACTAATTACTTAAATCTTGTAATAAACGTACGTAATGGATGTTATGTATGTAAAAATATTTTAAGAGGCTAACACTGATACTGCAGGCGCTGTCTCCACAATCGTGAGAGCATACACGTGTGTTTGAATGTCTTAGAAGTCCGTAAATGATACGATTTTACCGGCACCCAATAACAAAAACGCGTTTATCGCATTTAGATATTTTTGCATGGGTCCGTCAATACATCAATACCGACTGTGGCGCAGGGCAGGGGCGTGCACGGGCGGTCCGCACTCGTAATTACAGGCGCGCGCGCCCGCGGGCCGATATATGCGCACCCCTGCCCCGCCGGCTGGCAAATTATTTAGTGATTTCGATTTTATTTGTACTTACACGCTTTCCGTTGGGGGGCGTTCGCTGCCATTCGTCTTTTTGGACTGTTTAGCGATCGTATTTGGGCAAGACTGTGTGCGGTATGGCGTGCGAAGTAATATGTGATTAATATGTTATGATTCGGTATCGTGCAGAGACATTAAACTTTTTTTGGGAGATTAAATCTCGAAAAGCCGTACTAGGGGATGATATTATTATGTGGTTTAGAAGCGGATACATTTATAATTATCTGTGTGTATAAAGGAACAAACCTGCTCAAGGAACTATCGCTGTTAATACATTTTAATTATTTTGATATATTTAGTTATATTTTTTTGTCCAATTATATGGGGTAATTTAAGACAGCAAGCTGCATTCTTCAAAGAGTAAATGGTTCTAGATAATAATAATTCTAAAATTTTAATCTTGAAACTGCAAATATTTTTCAAATGTTAGTGGCCTTATTCGATGAATTCTTTATTTGTGTGACAACCATATATTTTCGGATACTTTTTAGAAATTCTCCCTTTGTTTAATCTAAAATCGATCTACTTCCACACGTAGCATTGACCTAAAACAGCGTTAATGTACTTGAGGCATATTCGCCTACCAGGGCGGTTCTCTCCGCCCCCAGTCAACGATTTACAGGGTCGACGGTCACCGATGTCTCGCCTCCAAACCGCATCTCGGGGACCCAAAGCTCACTGTCACCTTCATTCATTTATGTACGAATGTCCACTTATGTCTCTCCTTGGCTAGGGACTACCCTTGAAAGACAAGCTCGTGGTAACTCGCCACCAGTCCAATGCATTGAGCATTAAATGAAAAATACTATGTATAGTCCACATGAAAACAATCATCAAAAGGACCTAAACCTCACATCCTTACACTAAAACCTTGTCATCGCAGGTTTATATCACACGAGAGATATTTGAATCTGAACGGCTATAATTATTATTCAAACTATCTTTTTCTTATTACTTATCTACGTAGGTACTCTTTAAAAGTAAAGTATTAGCCTATACATGTCCCACTGCTGGACAAAGGGCTCCTCTGTACAGAGGGTATCAGGGCATAGTCAACCACGCGGCCCCACTGCTGATTGGCGGACTTCACATGTCTTCGAAATATATTTTTTTTTAAATTATTATTTCGAAAATATGCAGTTTCCTCACGATGTTTTCCTTCACCGCTGAGCACGTGATATTTCAGCACTTGAAATTAACAATTTCATTGGTGCCGGCACCGGGGATCGAACTCAGGTTGCTCGAGTATATTGAATTAAAGGCGAGCGCCCGGACACTGAGCTATCACGGCTCTGGTACTCTTTACTTATACATTAAATTAATTCTTTTTTTTATCTATTTATCATTTCGTGTTATATTTGTTGAAAATTATATGCATATTTAGCGTAACGGTGTGACATCCTCTTTGGAAAAATCTGCATTTCCCATCCTCAATTAGACTGGCACCTTGTACATATCTGAGAAAGTCACTTTTATTCGACCGTTAAGTTTGATACTTCAAAAAAAAAAGAAATAGTCTTAGAAATCACACGGTGTTGATAAACAGCGTTTAATCGTTTCAATAAATATTTTGCTAATTTGTAAGTATGTTTATGAACGTAATGGTATCACTATGTTTGTACTTCCAATCTGTAGTACTGCAAAATACGTCATGTTTAAGCTAATTTCATTCAAGCTGCTCACAATTTTTTTTTTTAGCCTTTTGCTTTGTTCCGATGTCTTAACTGACACTTCGCTACCAAAAAAATTTTGTACTTTGTTGTTCGTAGGCCTAAATAATCGTGCCTCTGACCATTTTTCTTTTGCCTTTTTAAATATCGAAGATTCATAAATAGTTTAGTGATAAATTTATGAACAGGTTAAATAAATAACGCATCAATTCTATAATATAACTTTTATTGTTCCTTATAAATTTTCTTACAATCGGGAAGAACATGTTTCGCAGAGCGAATGTATGGTAAGTACATAACTAGAAAATTGCAACATAAACGGCTAAAACGTATGAGCTAAAACTTTTAGTACAAATAATAACTATGAGATAAATCAAACTTACATTTATACAGATAACATATGAATTATAGGTTTAAAAAGCAAAAAAAAAGTAACATAAAAATACGACTTAACTATATCTACAACCTTTATGGAAGATTTAAATTTGATTTTTTTCTGTTATTTCATCTACTAAATATACAAAAAAAAAATAATAGTTACAAATAAATAATCTTTTACATAGGAATCGTTAAGTGACCCGCTCGAGCACTTTTGGATAATAAACAATATAAAAATATTTTAGGAAATTAGAAAGCACCACTTTGATAAAACGCGAGCAAAAGAACATAAAGAATCATTCGTTCTCTTTATACTTTTCGTCATCGCATAAGTTGTCTGCCGATAGCAAGCAGAACACTGCGAACACGTGAAACACAAATTTTCAGTATAAATTTATTTCTAGGTAAAAAATCTTTCGTACTAATTAAATTAACCAGAAAACGAAAATCATTAAACTGCAATAAATTTCATGATTAGATAGTTTTTTTCCATAATCAAGAAAAATATACAGAAATTATTGACAAAAAAAAACCACAAGAAAACAATGTTAGTTTCCACGATCTCAGCATATTGAGTATAGATGCCAATTCTACTTTAGCTTTGCACCCATTATCGATATCTGTTTAAAAATATGTAATTTATTGGCTACTATAAATTTGCCTAAAACCATGTCGCATCAAAAACGACGCCTAAAACATACTTTCGAAAAATAACTCTTTGGGCTATAAACAGAAAGTCCTGAATATTCCTATACCGAGTCGGTGCCGTCTAGTCAGTTACTGTAGCAGGTCTGTCTGACACCAGCTAAGATCACGCTAAACTCGTCCTCTGGTCTCACCTCCGCGCCCGGCGCTGGGGGCGCGTACGGCCCGGGGGGCGGAGCTCCGGTAATAACGGTCGGGTACGGCGAAGCGTACATCCTTTCTGAACAGTACTCCTGACCGGGCGCGGCTTCACCGCAATAAGGTCTGTAGCCCTGCTGTTGCTCGTATCTGTACTGCTGGTGCTGTTCCATTGTTCCCTCGGTGCCGTAGTCCAAATACTTGTCGAACTCTCGCGCGTCCACGTCGGACTCCGGCGAGCCGGTCCTTATTTCCGGACGTGACGTCATGTAGCCCTGCTCCGATTCGGCTTGACCAGACGGAGGCTCCTCGGAGAAGTAGTTGCCGCCGTCGTACTCGGTCTTCGGCTGTTCCGGATAGTGCACGTAGGACTCCTCAGTTTTGTACATCTGCTCGTACTGCTCGTACGGATGGTACTGGATGTTGTATTCGGCGTTGAGCGAGCCGCTCGGTGCAGATGAAACCCTGGGCGCCGATGTGCCCAGAGTCTGTTGGTCCTGGGACGTGGCCACCGGCGGGAAAAACGTGCCGGTCACGAGCGGCGGCTGCTCAGCGAGAGTCCTCTGGGTGCACATCACGTACATGCCGTTCGCCATGCCCATGGCGGCGACGGGCGCCGGCGAGAAAGAGCCGGGCGCCCTGAACTTGTACGAGTACGAGTCCGAGATCGAGGCGTTCATGGCTCTTCGCCGCTCCTCGTATTGGAAGTTTTCCTTTTCGTTCTCTACGGGGGATGCGTCGGGAGTTGGAAGGGGGGCCTCTGCAGGCGCGCTCCTCCTGCCCTGCGGCTCCGGAGACCTCGCGGGAGAGGACTCGGGTGTCTGTACGTGGCCGTTGAACTGGTTGGTCTGGTAGTCGGAGGCGAGGGGCGAGGTGCGGTAGGGGGAGAAGCCAGCCGCGGGATTGTGAGAGAAGCGAGTGTCTGGAGAGTCAGTTCCGGTGGCGTAGGGGGATCCCAGGGCGGCGGTGGCGGCGGGCGGCGCGCTCGCCGGTGCCGCCGGCTGGTTCGGCCTAGTCTTGTTCTGCTTCCTCCTCCGCGGGCGGTATTTGTAGTTGGGGTGCTCCGTCATGTGGATGACGCGTAGGCGTTCCGCCTCCTCGACGTACGGCCGCCTATCTTGAGGCGTCAGCGAACGCCATTTCTTACCTGAAACAGGAAACATTAAATTGAGTACATCATACTGAGTGGCGCAGTATCTAAGCTGTTGCCTTCGGTGTTGTGGTATTGTCCACCTTGGGTTCGATTACCACACGGCACAAGTATTTGTGTAACCCACAGATAATTTCCCAAGGGCCGGACCCTTAAAAAAATAGCCAAAACCACTTACAACATGATTCACATGTTGTGCCGACGCCACCTACATAGGTGAGATAGAGGGCAGGAGAATTATGATTCTATCAGATTGAGAAAAAAAGATATATACTTTGTTAAATGTATGACAGGATTCGAACCTGCATCTCAATGGCAGATTCATCTTAAGTGTAGGAACTAGCACTCAAAATAAAATTAATGATAAAATTTTAAAGCAATTTGAGTAAATTTGTAAACCATTATATATTCAATTTATTTACTGTTTTAATTAGTAATTGTTGCAATAAATAGTCCATACTAAAACTATAGTTGCCTTGATACTCCACTAATAAAAATAAGGTCTCAGTTTATGTCAAATTATAAATGTACACACAATAACAGCACACGGGCCATTGTCTTGACAGTTCTCAACGCAAGTAGCTGCTTATCTGGACAGGTACTTTGTCACAAGTAACCAAGTAGCGGAACATAAAAATATGAAACCTAATACCACGATTCATTACTAATATACCGAGACAACGACTAGATAACATTCCCGAGAATAACATTAGAGGAATTTTATAAAGGCAAAATAGAAGCCGTCTGTCTCGGAGCCAGGCTAAATAATCACACCGGTGTTTTATCAAATAACTATAAAACACCTAGCGAGGGCTCTCCATAAATTACCTTACACCCGTTTCGATCGACTGATTTCCAGTTGTTTGCATTTTGAACTTTATGCTGAACGTAATACGAAGCTTTTCCATGGCCAGGTTCAAGTGTGAGGTTCAAAGAGGAATTATCGAGGGCCTGAGCAATCTTTAAGGATATTTATCAACGCGACACTACTTGCTACTGGCAAAACAAACAACTTCACTTTAAGTGATGGGTATTTGTCGATACGATTATAAATAGTGTGTCGATTAAAATTTACGTTTTCTGATTTCAAATTGAAATTATTTTATAAATATGCAATATAAAAAGTTATTACGTCTCATATATAAATAATTTATTTGTTAAATTGAAATTTAAAATAATACAATCACAACTAATGGATCAGTATTCAAATGAAAATATAATAATTATAACAATTTTTCATTTTATAAAAATACTTTTTATATCAATGTCATCGCTCACATTTAGTTAAAAATTCAATGATTTGTTAAAAAAAAAGAAAAATTGTAAGTCAGGTAAGTTCGACCTGTTTGAGTGATGTCAAATGTCAAGTTGACGAATGGCGGGAAGAGGCTTCCTGTAGTGAAGCGTCAGTCCATTAGTGTTTGCCTGATATAGGGATTATCGATATCCCTCTTATCGATAGCGGTTGAGTAATTAATGATTTATTAGTGCTGTGCTGGAATTGGCTGTGTAAAGTATTTCTCAGTTTACGTTTTTATTTAATAATTAATATTAGAAACATTATCAATAACGTAAGGCTTTCCAAGTAAAAAGGCTTACGTTATTGCCGTTTGGTGCATTGGACGATTGAAAACATACAAAATTACATACAAAATTAACCAATGATCGCTATAAACATATAAAAAAAATTCAACGGCAAATAATAAGCATTGGTTACTTATAAATAATTAATTTACGATTATTTAAACAATAAGCAATTACATTTAAGCTGTTTAAAATGCAATATTCTGGCTAGGTGTGCCGCATAACGGCCATTATCGCTTTTCATTTGATATTTCACGGCACTAAGCTACCTAATAGAGCTTCAACAAGATGGGTCACCTAGAGGTCATCGAACTCGCCGTAGATGGATAATTTATTGCTACTCGATCATTGCTAACTTAATATACAGTGTTATTCACCAATGTTCAGTGAATTATGGAGCCTCCTTATTAGTAGCACGACATTCATGACTCTTTGTTTTATATTATAACCTACAGTGATTTCTTCATCTTGTTGATATGCCATCGATTTTATTTTATAAAAGGCATTGTTTATTCTACCTATATGTGTATCATAATTTAACATTGTTTTTTTTAATGTTAAATAGTTATGAATAACATTGAAATGTATGATTAAAAAGTGTTCAGACTTAATGTTCAGTAGCCGTCTCGTCTAAAAGGTTTCAATCATTATGGAGTTTTCATGTTACAACACTGTTTCATGTTTTTTGTTTCATTTGATAATCCGCTTACCGCTTGCTATATCATCATTATTATCATTATCATCATCAGCCTTTATTGGTCCGCTGGACGTAGGTTACTACTGTAAAGACCGCGATTTTTACAACTGGGATTAAATATGCTCGACGTAAAGGAATGGGTGTACCTCTTTGTTATGAAAAAATGGATTGTAGATGCGTTGCAAACCCTTTAAAAAGTGTGTCCCAGTTACATCACTCTCCAGACGAAACGCGAAAGTATTATAATCTCAGTTAACGCTAGACTTCTGTGAGGCCGTAGTAATTCCCCAGACGAGCCTGCTCATTATTGCAACAGCCGAAGCTATAACCAAAAACTGCTGAACTCAATAAATTTCTGCCCTGATTTTCATTACTGACGTGCGTTTGTCCTATTTGTGTTAAATATAGTGTTAACTAGTATATATTAGTAGTGTTTTCGATAAGGTTTTTGGAAAAATAAAGTGATTTGGATCGAAGGCGTGCCAGTTTGTCGTTTATGTGCTCATAAAATTGAATATAAGGAGTAAAGTTGTACTTGTCGATAAAGTTTTCAAATAAATGAACGCGATAAAATAGATAGCATCTGTAAACCTTTGACAGTGGTAATCAAAAGTTTTGTCATCAGAACAAATCGATGTTTTAGCAAAAACTGGGTTACTGGTGAAAACTTCTCAGAAAACCACCCCAGGTTCGACTCCCCCTTTATCGTTGACTGCTTAATAAATGACAAGTCATTAAGGTTGGGGTGAGGTCCGCTGGGATCCGATGGTTCGTTCACCGCTCAAGTACAATGACACGTATCAATCAATGTGACTTCTTCGAAGTTTTTATTGCGTTTCATGGCAGTAAGATATTCACAATTTTATTGCAACGCCGCTGTTGGTGGGTGGGACTTTGACGCTGCGATGAAGACGATTGATACCGGCCAACATTTATGGAAGATTCTTATTATAATACATTGACGTAGTTTTTATAAGCTTAAAATATGCGTGAGACTTTTCCCTGTAATATGTGTGTAAAGATTATTTTTAAACAGCTGTGAATCGGTGATAGTTCTCACTGTCAGTTGATTGTCATTTGTGTTGTCATTGGTTATATGCCCTTCCACGTGAAATGGTGAAAATTAAACTACTCTGGATGTATTTTTTTAATTTGTTATGACTATATGATCATTATTCTTTTGTTTGAAATTTGATCAACACTGAGTCCTGAGGTACAGATTGAATTCAAGGAAGGTTTACTTTCATCGTTTTTAATTTGTTTAAAAACTTATCGTTTTTTGAAAATATCGTGTTTGAGTAGCTGGTATTTGTCGAAATATACATACATTTAAAGATTGAAATGCTTTAAAAAAGCTATGCCTTAAAGAATTTTGTAAGTCATTATCCCCGTTATTAAAGGAGCTTCGCAAAGTTTGAGGACTAAGGGCGTCTAAGGGAGAGGTTATTTTGGAATTATCATCTAAGAAAAGTTTTAAGAAAGTATTAAACGTTGAAATCAATTTATTATTTTTAAGAATGCTTTTAGATTAGCCTTAATAATTTCGCGTGGTGGACTATGCCCTGATACGTTCTGTATAGAGGAGTCCTTTGCCCAGCAGTGGGACATGTATAGGCTGCTACTTTACTTTACTTTTTAATAATTTCAAAAGGAAATAAAATGAATAGTACAGAATCTAAACTTGAATATGTACAGAGAGTACTAGTCCACCACGCGACCCGACTACGGATTAAGAACCTTTATGAAGTCCGCCCGACTTCATAAAGGTTCTTAATATGATTTTTCTTAGTATTTGAAAATATGGATGTTTCCTGACGATGTTTTCCTTCATCGCTAAGCACGTGATTAGTAAGTACTCAAAATTAACAATTTCGGTGGTGCGGGCACTAGGCTTTGAATTCAGATTGCCTGAATATTTCCAACCGACATCCAAAAAGGAGGAGGTTCTCAGTTCGAATGTATTTTTTTATGTTTATTACCTCTGAATTTATGACTGATTTTGAATCTTTATTTGAAAGTTGGTGCTTCCCATATGGTCCCATATTAATTTCATTGGTATTGGGTCTTGGGATCCGGAGATACGTATTAACTCCTGAAAATCAATTATAAAATGAATACAGAGCGAGATTTTTGAAGTCGGTTTTGTTTTTCATTAATAAAAGAAATATATTTGTGAATTAAAAGCGAGCGCCCGGAAACTAAGCTATCACGACTCATTTTAATTAATCACACTAAACTAAAAACGTTCAATTACAAACGAGTACACCCAATTATTTAAAATTTGCGTATAACTTATATTGCGTTTACTGACTCAAATATTAAGTCGATACACTCATTTTATCAGCCTCCACACGAAGAATTTAAATTAAGCAGTGATTATCTTAAACAATTCCCCCGCATCATTAGATTCATTAATGATGTCGATCTAATTAATGATACGACGAGCCTCCGCCGGCGGGGCAACGGGCAGCTATATGTCATAACATATTTGATCGATTGCCATCATTAAACTTTTATCATTAGGTTTATATCTATTCGCCTTTTTTACATTCAGCTTCTGGCTTTTACAGAGTAACTTGCGCACAGAACGTTGTGACTGATCCAAATAAATTAACAGTGCTCTGCACACTGGCTAGTGACATTTGTCATATTGTCTACCTTTTACATTTTTAATTTTTATTATAATTTAGAACTAAACCTAACCACTTACTTTGATTATATGTATGGGCTCT